ACTTAGAGAGAGATAGTTCCTCATTAGCTATATTATGGGAAAAATGGAAAAGATCGCTTGAAATTTATCTTGAAGCCTCTGATATTACTCTACCGTCTAGGAAGAGAGCTACACTATTACACTTTGGGGGCCAGGGACTTCAAGAAATTTTCTACAACTTGCCGGGTGCAAACATTGAGTCATCAGAACATGGAGATGTATATGAAGTCGCCATAAGAAAACTCGACGATTATTTTGTACCTAAACAGAGCAAGGTTTACGAAAGGCATATTTTCAGGCTATTGAAACAAGAAAGTGATGAAAAGTTAGAAAAGTTTCTAATAAGATTACGCAAACAAGCTGTAAAATGTGCTTTTGAAAAGCCAGATGAACACATCGTTGACCAAATTACGGAAAAATGTGCTTCAACTGAGTTAAGGAAAAAAATTCTGACATTGGGAGATTATCATTGAGGGTAATACACTTGAAACAGTAAACCAACAAATGGAAAATTATGAAAACAAAAACGTGAACGTAGATGTTAATCGTATTTCAATGAAGATAAATAAAAAACACAAAACTATGAATTACCTACAATCAAAAAATAAAAACTGTGGTAGATGCGGCAGCACTACACACGCAGGAAATGATGATAAATGTCCGGCAAAAGGGAAGGAATGCTTTTCTTGCGGTAAAATTGGACATTTTAAAATATTATGTAGAACAAGGAACGCTACTCGTAAACCGCAGAAGAGAAATTGGGAGGATTTGAACGATAAAAGAAACTACGAAAATAAAAACTGGAAGAGGGCTAAGAATGGCGAACACAAAGATATAGATTTCATTGAAGATGTAGAAACGGAATACGTTTTTCAAATTGATGATAATGCAGCAATAGAGTGTATGGTTGGGGGTGTAAAAGTGAACATGTTAATTGATTCGGGATGCAAATTAAATCTTATAACCGATGACACGTGGGATAAACTAGTAAGTAAAAGAGTTAAAGCTTACAATCAAAAAAAAATCCGGATAAAACTTTATTACCCTATGGCAGCAAAACGCCGTTATTAGTAAAGGGTTCATTTAATACTTGCATCGAAGCTAATGATCGGAAAGATTACGACACAATTTATGTTATATCGGGAGGAACAAGAGACTTATTAGGCAAAAATACAGCTATTCGATTAGGAGTTCTTAAAGTTGGCTTAGGTATCAACCACGTAGAAAGTAAACCGTTTCCTAAATTCAAGAATATATTAATTGAAATCCCCATCAACAATGCAATTAATCCAATATCTCAGCCTTACCGCCGCGTTCCACTTCCAATAGAAGAAAAAGTGGAGAAGAAAATTAAGGAACTGTTGGATAGTGATATCATTGAGGAAGTACACGGACCTTCACGATGGGTTTCACCTATAGTCCCAATTATAAAGGAGAACGGCGAACTTCGTTTGTGTATTGATATGAGACGTGCGAATACTGCAATTGTGAGAGAAAATCACCCTTTACCGTCTATGAATACTTTATTGCCTAAAATAAGGAACTCCAAATATTTCAGTAAACTTGATATTAAAAATGCCTTCCATCAAGTAGAGATACATTCAGAATCCAGACACATTACCACTTTCATTACCGCAAAAGGTTTATTCCGCTATAAAATAATATTATTTGGCATATCTTGTGCGCCTGAATTATTTCAAAAAATTCTCGAAAGGATGTTAATTCGTTGTGAAGGAGTAATCAATTTTATAGACGATATTTTGGTTTTCGGTAGCACCGAGGACGAACATGACCTAAGATTACAAAATTTACTACAGGTACTTAAAGGAAATAACGTGCTTCTTAATCATGGAAAATGCCTATTTAAAACAAAGACAGTAGTATTTTTGGGACATAAGCTATCAGAGCAAGGAATAAAACCATTGGATAAATATGTACAAAGTATCATGAACTTTCGACTTCCCAACACTGTTGAAGAGCTTCAAAGTTTCTTGGGGCTGGTCAATTACATAAATAAATGGATTCCGCACTTGGCAACATTGACGGATCCTTTGAAAGAGTTGTTAAGAAAGAAAATCGAGAAAAACTCGTGCAAAGTGTAAAGAAATATTGGTTGAAAGATCAAGATGATGCATTCAAAAAGTTGAAACAAGTATTAACAAAAAAACAATCATTAGGATATTACGACTTACAAGATAAGACTCAAGTAATAGCAGATGCCAGCCCCGTTGGACTTGGAGCTGTGCTGGTACAAATAAAAAATAATAATCCCCGAATTATAGCTTACGGAAACCGGACATTAACGAGCTGTGAACGGAGATACAGTCAAACAGAGAAGGAAGCATTAGCCTTAGTGTGGGCTGTGGAGCATTTTGATATATTTCTATTTGGAAAAGTTTTTGATTTAGTGACAGATCACAAACCTTTAGATATTTTATTCGGAACTAAATCAAAGCCATGTGCTCGAATCGAAAGATGGGTATTAAGATTACAATCCTACAGCTATAAAGTTATATATAAGCCTGGCAAGTCTAACATTGCAGACCCTCTATCAAGATTATGCACCTATACTGGATGTCCGTCTGAAGGAAATGAACTGCATGTGCAACTCATTGTGGAGTATTCTAGACCCGTCGCTATACCACTTCGAGAAATTAAAGATATATCTGGAGATGACCGGGAAATACAATTAGTAAAACGAGCCATATACAACAATGATTGGGTCGAATCGGTAAAAGTATTTAAGACATTTGAAAATGAGCTATGTTTTTATGACACGATTTTATTACGAGGAAATAAAATTGTAATACCTCTAAAGCTCCGCAAGAGGGTGTTAGAAGCTGCCCATGAAGGTCACCCTGGCATTGTAGCCATGAAGGGCCGTTTAAGAACAAAAGTTTGGTGGCCACGGATTGACAAGGATGTAGAAAATATCGTAAAATCCTGTAAAGGATGTACACTTGCAAGTTTACCAACTCCGCCACATCCATTAAAAAGACGCGAGTTACCTAACAGCCCCTGGATAGATATAGCTATGGATCTTTTAGGTCCATTGCCAAATAATGAATACCTGATTGTGATAATAGATTATTACAGTAGATATAAAGAAATAAAGGTATTAAAAGTAATAACAAGTGCGCAAATAATAAAAGTACTTAAGGAAGTTTTCAGCAGATTAGGGTATCCCATTTCAATTACAACAGACAATGGCAAACAATTTATAAGTGAAGAGTTTAAAGGATTTTGCAAAGATTGCGGTATAAACCTCTTTAATACAATACCCTACTGGCCCCAAATGAATAGAGAGGTAGAAAGACAAAATCGCGACATTTTAAAACGACTACGAATAGGTCATCTTGAGAAAAAGGATATACGAGAAAGTATATGGGACTACTTAATGATGTACAATAGTACACCCCATACGGTGACTGGAAAGACACCATCAGAAATTTTTTTTAAGCGACAGAATAGAGACAAAGTACCTTCAATAGAGTGGTATCATGAGAGATTAGATGATTTGGATATCAGAGATAGAGATGCAATTCAAAAGGAAAAAGGGAAGGAGTATGCCGATAGGAAGCGAAAAGCTACAGATTCCGGAATATTAAAAGGGGATAAAGTATACGTAAGATCAATGGATAAAGGTAAGCTGACACCGAACTTTAATCCTACGCAACACACTGTAGAAAAATCTAATAATGGTGATTGCGTTGTGAGGAACAATGAAACTGGGCAGGCATATAGGAGATATGTAGTACACTTAAAGAGGATAGAGGGTGAGTGGAAAAATGTCTCGAACCAGGACCAAGATGAACAGGAACAAGATGAACAATGTGAAAATGAAAATATTTAAGGAAATTAAAACGGGACTATAGTTTGTGATATTATAATTTATTGTGATTACAAAGCATAATGTAAACATTTAAAAACAATTGTACTTCATTGTGATTTCAAAACATGATGTAAAGAATAAAAAAGCAATTGTTAATAAAGGAGAGATGTAGTGTATGTGAAGGTATTATATTAAACACCGGCATGTTCGTATACAAACTACCCTACTACATTACACGTATAAATACCACTGTCTCGAACGCAACACGTTAGTATCACGAGAGCCACGGGCGAGAGTGGACGTGTAGTGAAGTTTTGAACTGCCACCAGTGCCACCTTTCCGGCGCTAACGTAGCCATGTTCGTCGGAGTGGTCATGTTTCCCTTTATAGTATGTGTACTAAGTTTCATATCAATTGGCCCAACGGTTCTCGAGTTTTAGGTGAACATGCACACACACACATTGCATTCTTTTTTATGTATTTATTCTTCATAATATACAAAAGTATTACTTTAATACAGTTTCGTATATAAAAGGATTTTTTTTATTTGCGGCAAGTTCCCCTGATGAATGCCCTTGGACTTCTGAAAAGCCCGTGAGAAAGTAGGGTCGTTGCCAACTTAAAAGAGTGCATCTTAGCTAACTACCACCTCATCCAACCGTAGTAAAGCAATAATGTGACTTCACGCTGTAACTCTTTTGTAAGGTCAAAGTACTTCATATATAAATATATTTTTTATCACATGCCTCAGCAGTTATCCTAATAACTTATCTTACTCAACGTGTGATCCACATAGTGCATATTCAATTGGTCCTCGATATTACTATCAATAGCTGTATCCTTAACTTTAATACTTGGTTTTGTCAGATTACGGGCGGATTTCCCAATGAGAGACCGAACTAAGACAAATTATTTATTAAGCATAATAATTTGACACGATTTCCATGTGAAAAATACTTTAATGAATAAAATGTAACCAACGTTACCGTATATACATTACAGTAACATAGGTTTTATGTTATTCCCATACGAAAATCGATCGAAGAAGCGCATCAACGGTTTCATGGTATCAATTAATGCAAATAAAAAATTTAAAAAATTTTATTGCTTCATAATATCAGTTAGATATCTGAGTCGCGTTTTTGTTTTTTTTTATTTTCTGTTTTCAATTCGACCTTTTTTTTTTTAGATCGCTCCCGATTACGAGTCAAATGCTCGCCGGCGGTAGTGCGGGCGCCTGTCAGATCGTGATCACAACGCCCATGGAGCTGCTCAAAATTCAGATGCAGGATGCCGGGCGCGTGGCGGCCCAGGCGAAGGCCGGTGAGATAATTATTTCTCTTTCTGTTTTTGACGGCATACCTGAAAAGGTAAAAAAAGGAAACATTTTAAGATCACTCTCTTGTCCGTATGTCACCGCCGATTTCCTCAGGAACGGGTGGACCTAGCAAGTTGAAATTTATACTGAGGTCTAGTCATATTAGGTGTATAAAAATGTTTATAAAAAATTCAAGGTCCTGAGTTAGCACGATAAAAAGATATGGGCAAATTTAGATTTTCGCGAAAACTTTAAGTACCAAAATTTATTAAATTTTCAACTTTTTTCATTTTTCGGAATTTTCCGTTTACTTGTGCCCAAAGACTTTGCTTTTAACCAAAATGGACAATTCTCACGAAATTTGGCAAAAAGCAAGGTCAAGTCAGTACTAATAAAGGAAAAATTCTAAGAATATGAAAATTAAAGGGTGTCCCCATACATACATACATAGATGACGCCAATTAAGATAGTCCTCTGAGTTGTATGGACGCACATACAATTTAAAGCACTAAGCAGTTAATGGCAGCAACCTCAAAAATGGTAAATAAATAAAATTGTACTAAATGATACCAATTTTATTATGGCGGTATAATCCGGAATTCTGAACCCTCGGCGCACTAGTTCGACTTGCATTTGACCCCTTTTTTATTATAAAATTAGATATTAAATAGTGTATTATAAAATAAAATAAAATCAGAATACGAAATAAATCGAATCTAGCGCCATTAAAACCGTGGTTCCAGTCAATTGAGCAACGTAGAAGATCTTGATCAATTGACTTGTGAAAGAAAGAGAGAGAGTGAACTGGCTTCTTTAAGAAAGAGTCAGAGAATTGAGTGGAGGCAAGGAATAACTGAAATTTCTTGCGTGACGATTATTGCTACAACTCACACAATTGGTCAAGATAACGTTAAAGCATTAATATGCGCATGTTTGGATGTTTTATTACAGAGGGCCGCACAGTAGAGCGGATAACGGCGACTATGCTCACGAAGAGGCTCCTTAAGGAGCGAGGAATAATCGGCCTGTACAAGGGCATCACCGCGACGGCCGCCAGGGACATCTCCTTCAGCATCGTCTACTTCCCGCTCTTCGCGACCCTCAACAACATCGGTCCCAGCGGACCGAGTGGCCCCCCGTTCTGGTGATTATAACCGCAGCATCTGGGACCTAAAACTGCGGCCCCGTTTACGGGATCGTCCATTAACCACGCGAGACTCGAAGGGGAGACATAAAACACTAAACATCACGAGGGGCTTGTTGTATTGTATTTTGCATGGAAGGGAGTGAGTTATAAATAGAGATATAACGACCGCTGCGACCTAAAAGATTGGCCCGTTTCTTTTACTGTAAGGATAACATTGACCTGTGTTGTAAGGATGTTTTACATACATAAATTGCACATAGACAAACGCACAGATCCGAAACAATTACCTATGGGTCACACAAATAGTTGTCCCATGTGGTAGTCGAACTCACGACCCCCGGCGCTGAAGCCGGGGGTCGTGGGTACCTTGACAATTGTGCCATGAATTCATCAGGGCTTGTTATGAAATAACATCATTTCCCAGGTGGTCCTTCATCGCTGGTTGTGCCGCCGGTTCCACAGCAGCGTTGGTAGTGAACCCGATGGATGTAATAAAGACAAGAATGCAGACACTCACGAAGGGCTCCGGGGAGCGCCAGTACTCCTCCATAATGGACTGCGCTTTGTAAGTGGTTTCTTTATTTAAATATTAATTCACATTTATTTTAATGAAAGCTGTATAGAATGGCAGCCAGTTGGTTTAATAGGTTTCTATTTGTATAAATAACCTGACACGGTTTGATACATACCCAAATTGTAAGTATAATATTAGATGCTAGGACTTCACACGCGACTTCCGCGAAAATTGTGATAACTCCGCTAATTTAAACAGTACATTTTTTTTTTTTTTCTCTATTGCAATCTATCAATTTGCAGATATTCAGCAATATGTATAAAATGAGAAGGGCTTGCACGATAGCAGTCCAGTGACTGCTTCGTTGATTCATGTGCCTTTCAGAGAAGGTCTTGGGGAATCTTTCTCTTTAGTCTACGAGCCACTGTTAAACAGTACATGATATAAATAATTTCATCCTCGTAGCTCCCGTGACAATACGGCGTTAAAATGTATCTTATTTGTGACTAAAAACGCGAACTAATAATATGTTTCTACATATTATTATTTTATAAATCTTTAAGAGTTTTCGAAGCGCACGCAAAATAATGTCTTTTATAGGCAACATTTTAATACTTACATTACCTTGGGTTACATTTTTCGTAGGTTTCTCTAATTTTTTTGAAAATTTAATATAGCCTATATTGCTCGGTAAATATGTAGCTTACTAATAATGAATTTTTAAAATCTGCCGAGTAGTTTTTACAGTTAATAATGGTCAAATTAGTTAAATGATTCTTGAAGCGATTTGATTCAAGTGTCAAGATCTCTTAAAAATCAGAACTCATATTACTTACTATGTGTATTCTGATTTGTATCTTAGTTTTCTTTTTTCAGAATTGAAACAAAGCAACATATTTTACCCTTTTTATATTTGTTATTTGTGTATTAAACTAACAACTTCTTGAGTCCATTTCATGTATTGGGTTGGTAATTTTTAGATTAGACATTATTAAATTTCACACAATAGACTTTGGTGATAACTATTTCCTTATTTCCTCCACATACAACATCAAATGGGTACATGGGATCAAATAGGATGGGGTCAAATGGGACAGCAGAGAAAAGTGTGCACACTATGCGATATAAGTATGTAAAATATTTAATTTTCTTTTCACAGAACAACATTGAAGAATGAAGGTATAACCGCGTTCTTCAAAGGCGGTGCCTGTCGTATGATGGTCATCGCTCCATTATTCGGTATTGCTCAGGCTGTATACTATATAGGCATAGCCGAAGCTCTATTAGGTCTCAAAAAGTAAGTTAGGATAGTAGGTCTGTGTTACCATTGACTCCAAGAGTCTTGATTGTTGTGGCTGTATATCAAAAGACTATTTATTCGAACGCTTATTTATTTTATTTGTTATGCGGTTCCTCATGAGTAAAAGACGAATGGCGATATGAAAGCTTTGTACAAATTTTGTTTTATCCTTTTTATTGTTTAAGACATTGTGTGACAAAGAGAGGAGTAATTTTTTGATGATAATGGATAAATTGGCCAATTGTACTGCATATATGCATTTAATAATTAATCATGATTCATACCTGATGTACACATGGAACTATGCTAAATACCATCATTAAATATGGATAAGAAAATTAATGAATATCTGTAAGCATATATAAATCTTATGTTTTACAATATACGTTTTACATTTGCCTTTATTCTGGATTCCACCAGACACATCTTTAGAGTCAATTTTATTACATTATATAGGACTGTGTCGTTTTTGTCTTTTTTCAACTCTGTCCAGTACCAAAAAAGAAAAAAGATATTATATTTAAGATATTGCAAAACTGTTGACATTGACTAATTTTTAATATAGTATTTATGTTACAAAAACTAATTTATTTGTGTTGTTTGTAATAACTTATTTTTTTGTCTACAAAGACAACTTATTATTATTATGATTTATAACAAAGTAAATTTAAAACTTTGTTACGATAAATTAAAAAAATATGTATAACTTAGCCAAGTCTGCTTTATTTTTAAAAATAAAATATAGTAAATTCTTATTTATTGAATACATTAGCCAACCAGATTCTGTTTACCTATATTTTTAATAGCTTGAGATAAAAAACATGAAAATACTTTTTATGGTTAATTACTCTGTGTTCTATTATGTAATCTTTAGCAAAGAAAGACTTAATATATCTAAATTACTGTTAACATTATTTTCTTAATAATTGATTTCTGGCAGATAATTAATACAACCTTGTGAAAAGATGAAATCGTCTTGTAAGTGTTAAAATACAGTTATGTAAAATTTAGAAATTGTAATATTAATACTTGTTCAATTAATACATTGACAATAATTACACAAAAAATACATTGCATGTTAGTTTTATAAAAATTGCACGGAAGCTATGTGTCAATTGATAGGATTTATAATGATGTAATATACAATAACTTTAAAAACTGCTTTATTTGAAAACATTATAAATTTTAATTGCATTACTGTTTCTGTATATTGGAATAAATGAAAAACAGAGCATTGTATGGTATATTTATATTTAAAACAAATACTTATATAGGCAAGCTATAAATTAATTTTTGGATTTAATTAAATTTATTTATTTCAGAAACACTAATTACCCCAATATCAAAGGTCTTGAATAATGATATTGAATTAAAAATATTTCATTTATAGAAAATTATAGAATCAAACATTTTATAAACTCAAGAGAGCAAGACATGATCATATCATTTTTTTCTTTTCTATAAATCGAATACTCTTAAATCATTATGTTGCAAATTGAAAGTTGTATAAAACCTACCACTTTATAAATATTATCATAGTAGAAATCTGTCTGTCTGTCTGTCAGAATTTGGTCGAAATTGTCGTCCAAAATTGTTCTCCATTTGCTGTTTCAAAACTAAGTGTTAGTTATCAGTATTTAATTTGAAATTTTTCTTCTAAACATTAAAAACATGTGAACAATATCTTATTCAATCTGCTTTATTTAGAGCTAGTTGTTCAATAAAAAATTGTGAAAGATATATTGTTTTCATTCCTACCCTGTTCATGTTGAATTATTCTGGACTGAATTGTTTATTTATACTTACATTTGTTTATTTAAACTTCACAGGAATGATGTATATGGGCATAATTGAAATCAAAGCAATAGGTTCAGTACAGATAAAAGAAGTGGGTTAATACTAATGTAATAAATACGATCATTACACTGCATATATTTAAATACATAAATAGAGTACAAGAATCCAACCAGGTGCTAGTCGAACTCGTACGCCGAGGGTTCTGTATCTACCCATTATACAGTCATAATAAAATTTTTAAATAATCACCACCGATTTTCTCAGGAACTAATGGACCTAACAAGTTGAAATTTACACCAGATACTGAGATCTATATACAGCAAGGCGTTACAACCGCGACAGTAAATTAACAAACTAAGTTGAAATTTACACCAGATACTGAGATCTATATACAGCATGGCGTTACAACCGCGACTGTAAATTAACAAACTTCTAACGTTACTTGCTGATAATCATAAGAAAATATAAATGTTGAAAATATCCAGTTTTAAAAGAAAATAATTCTCAAATTAATAAGAAACTATATTTGTAACATCCTATACAACTGACTGATTCATACATTGAGATTTTTTCATTTGTTGCCTCAACGTCGCATTAGATGTATCTCCTTCTAACAGTATTTTTTTTTGTCTTTTAAATTCATTCAACCTATTCTTTGACCTTTAAAAATGAACTTTACGTTACAGTTTTATATGCAATAAATTGCGAGCCGTGATAGCTCAGTGTCCGTGTGCTCGCCTTTAATTCAATATACTCGAGCAACCTGAGGAACTCGATCCCCGGTGCCAGCACCAATGAAGTTTTTAACTTTAAGTGCTGACTTATCACGTGCTCCGCGGTGAAGGAAAACATCGTGAGGAAACCTGCATATTTTCAAAATAATAACAAAAAATATATATATTTCGAAAATATGTGAAGTCCGCCAATCCGCAGTGGGGCCACGTGGTGGACTATGCCCTGATACCCTCTGTATAGAGGAAGCCTTTGCCCAGCAGTGCGACTACTTGCGTTGAACAATACTAAAAACAATCTACCTACTTACTTTAAGTGTAATAAAAATATAAAAGAATGTTTAAACTGTGGTTTTATTCATACCTACCTAATTCATAAACTATACATTAATTTACAAGTTTATTAATACATAAGAAATTTACACCAATCTTATAATTTTAAAATATTTTTCATCTATGTTCTTAAAGTTAAGAACATTACAATATTCTATTATATCATATATTCCCACGCTATGGGTTAGTTTTGATGGCATAAATTAGAGTGCTAGTGGGCCCTGTGTACACAATTCAAAAGTATGGAGTTGTCATTCTTCTCATAAGAGTACTATTTTTACTGTTCCTGTGTGTGCGACAAAACACAAATTTTGAAAAAAAAATATTTTATTAATTAGGCGTCATAGTACTTAATACTTGATACTATTGTCTAGAATTTCGTCTTGTGATTTTAATGGTGTAAAAAAGTAATTTTGAAAAATGTGGAGTTACTAATTATATTACCTCTCAGTTACAGGTAAGTCATATATAATGTTAAGCGGAACAACTTTTAAACGCCGCGCAGTATGGAGATGCGACATCTTTTTCAATGTTATTTACGTTGTATAAGGAATATAACTAAAATGTAAATAATCAGCGATCCGAAAACATAATTGTTCATTTTTCAAAACAACCGTTATAATGAAAAACAACATTCCATATAAATTTAAAACGAAATACTATGAAATCAGAAATATAAATGGAAATAGACATACCATAGCCGACTTATTAACTTAATTATTAACATATCAAATGATTTTTTTTTTCAATACCAGAGGTGAGGTGAGTATAACGTTAGATTTATTTTAAAAATCTTGTTCTTTTACCATCACTTGTCACTTTTGTAAATACTTCCTTCAAGCCTTCAAGCAAGCAAGAACTGTAAAATCGATTTCGTTCGAGCAATATCACAGACGTCATTAGAAATGATAATATAGATTTAATATGCAATATTACAGACTAAATTTTACAAACTTCAATTCCGAAACCAACAAACAGTTACTTAACAAACTAAAAATAACTTTACAATAATATAGCTTATACATCGGAATAACGCATAGGCTGTAGTTTATAAAGATACTAGCGACCCTCCCCGGCTGCGCACGGGTGCAATGTATTATACATAAGAACCTTCCTCTTGAAGCACTCTATCTAGTAAAAAAAAAACCGCATCAAGATCCGTTGTGTCCTTTTAAAGATCTAAACATATCATTCCGCTTCGTGCTCTCGTACGGAACGGACCTCTCTCTAAGACGGAGGGCTAATGCCACCCGAATTAGACGCTACTCGCAACTTCGGTTGCAATTTAAATCTTTGTGCAAGCAGTGCAGTAGTTTAGTGTTAGTGTTGTGCTCGTAGGCAGGTTCCTGTTCTGTAAGTAGAATTCTATACACACTTCTCGCCTCAGAGGCGGCATTGTTTTTATTTAATAACTGTGTGCTTGTTGCGATAGGCGACAGCTAGGTACCCACCCTAGCGCACCTAAAGCGCAGGCGGATTAGTTGTTAGTTTTAGGCACTCACCTCCCTGCCGCAAGGTGGGGAGGCCTATTTAGTAACTTACACGCCGGCGGGGCGCAAGCCCCAAAGGCTCAAGCGCTCGAAATGGGTTCCCTCCTAGAGGAATTCCTTCGCCAACGATGTCCCGAAGTGTGGGCAAACTTTCTCGCGTTCGCGAAAGAAAAATGTTTAGTCGTCGAGTTCGCCAGCGACAGCCCGGCTTCACCGGCAGTCGCCTCGCCGTCATCTCCGGCGCCCTCAGCGCCTGCTAATGTGTCGCCTTCAGCGACACAAGAAAAGCCCGTCGCGTCGACCTCCGCCGCCGCGATCGTACCCATCGCGCCTTCCGCGCATCCCATCTCGGCCCCCTTCCGCGCCGTCGTTCCCGACTCACATTCGGACGGCGGATCGGACATGGAGGTCGAAACGACCCCCGCTGAAAACGCGAACGTCGACGGCTTCACCGTCGTAAAGTCGCGTAAGAAGGGCAAAAAACGCCCCGCTGCCGACAGCGACCCCGAATGCGAGGCCGCTTCGACTAACCAACCCACCGCGACGCCCGCCAAAAAGGCGGCTGCGGCGGCTAAACCGATGCCCGAATTCGCCTCCGAGCGAAAAATAAAGCCTCCTCCACCCATCATCATTCAGGAGAAGGCTAA